CGCTCTTCCTTTTCAGTTATTTTCACTGGTTTCTCTGCTTCTCATTTTTTCTTCTGTACTGTTGTTTCTTTCTCTGATGAACTTTTTCTTTGTGTAAAAAGAGATTTAGAGTTCAGAGCTACTTTTGTTTTTCCTGTAAACTCAGAAATACTGCTAGGAATATATACAAACACTGTGCTAGGTCCTGGTCAAAGTCTTGAAAAAGGACAATGAAAATTGCTCACATTTGCTTCATTTTTGGGACAACCAAGATAGATACTCTCAATCAACTTGCCCCTTCCAGATGAGTCATTATACGCCTGCTCATTTTTTTAGCAGAGCAGGGAAATTGGCTGACTGCTTTATCAGTGACACCACACCCAGATTCACCTTTTGTGATATCACTGAGAAGATGCTGCCAATCTATCTCTCTTCACAGAGCCACTACAGAGGCAACAAGCAGAACGTCTTGTAGACACATAAAACAGAAACTTTCAAATGCAACTCAAGAGTTCAAGAAAAGGAGAGGTACTTTACCTGGTCTTTCATGGTTTTCCCTAAATCTTTAACATCTTTCATGTTAATAGCATTCTTCCCTCCCTTCTCCTTTCCCTTCTTCTTGTTCTTCTTTTTGAACAAGCATTTCTTACAGAGGCAAAAGCAGCAGGTAAGGATTAATAGGACTGCAACTATGGCTATGGCTATTAAGGCCCAAGGTGGCACTGGAAGAGAAAAAGAAACACACACAAAAAGAAGGTGGTAAATTGTTAGTAGGGTTAAATTTAGAAACAAGTACGTTTCTTTCACAGTTAAGCCTTTTTCAATGAAAATGCCTTGCAGAAATACCTGAAATCCTTTCAAAACTATCCTGTCATAATTTGTGTATTTCTCCCAAATGAGCATTTGCACACACAAAGCCAATTTAACACATCTATCTATTTACATGCCTGGTGACACATCTCAAACTCACTTGCAGTTATTTTGATTAATCAACCATCTGAAAACAATATGTCCAAAATATTTACACTGTGCAAATCTGTAAAACACTCGACTCATTTATGCAATTACTTGCTTCTTTCTTTAATCATCTCCCCAACCCACCTGGCATTGTGGATGAATCGGGTGGAACTGACTGGGAATTTCCTTTTTCTGGAACGGCATCTGATCTGCGCAGTCAGTTTTAATGAACAGCCCTTCTCTGCCCACTGCTGTACTTGACAAGACTTGCAGACTCCTCACAACAGATGCAGGTCAAGGTCACCAGTAAAGATTGACCAAGGACAAAAGACTGACCAATCCAAGGGTGTTTGTCCTATTCACTGTCGTGCCCTAACGCTAGCAAGGTTTCAGTACATAGCTGTATTCTCACCTATACTTTCCAATAAAGAAAAGTGTGTGTTTCATTTATTCATTCAGTCCAGGACATTGAACATGGCTGAAGCATGAATAAATAACAGAGAATACTTACTATGATAAAATAGTCTTGTTAAATATTAGCATTTTGGAGAAAAAGGAATTAAGATGACACTTAAACACAAGTACTCCAGAAGGGAGTTATCTTCATACAAATCAGCTTTAATAACCACCGATACCCAGATTTATCCAGAACACCTGACGAAACTTTAAATCTTGTTAACTGTCGTTTTCTAAAAATCTCAAAATGCACTCAGCCTATCACGTCTGCAAGATATTCTCTCAGTGCATTACCTAAAGGTCTCTAATATGATACAGAGCAAAACCAAAGAGTGAATCAAATTTGACATGTTGACGTCAGTGAATCACAGAAGGGAATGGACAGTATAAATAGAGAAAATTAATTGCTTAAAGGAGCTAAGCAGAATGTGAAGCATGGTCACAGGAACTTCCACTACAAATTACCAGTTCAGGAAGAGGACAAAGCACCTACACCTTCTTTACTTTAAATTTAATGACGATATTTCTTTCGTTCAAATGTCCTTGGTGACAGATATAAAAATACTGCAGGAGAATAATTAAACAATAATTTCTGTAATACTTTTGCGCCTCCAAATGTTCATTAAATGCAGCTGCTATAAAAGGGAAGCTGTACCATATGTAGAACAAATGGGAATTGATTACTAAACAAATGAATGTTAAAAGATAAACAGTGAACAGACTAACAGCTGTTTATGGGATGCATTTTATGGAGTCAGCAGCAGCAGTTCTGCAGTTGAAGTTGCATTAGATCTGCACTTATCACAACTTAAAATCTGTATTTCATGCAGTAGTGATTTATTTTTGTCTCCAAATCTTGTGTGGTAACACATTTTAGCACAATTGACTCCCCTACAATTTTTTTTTTTTTTCATTTAGAACTCACAAATGTAAAACCATTGCCTTTCATAGGCAATGTGTGTTCTTCTCAAATTCTAAACTTCACATGTATACTTAATCAAGACACTTAGCACCTGAAATGGTATTTACGTAACACTGTACTTTATATCTAAGCTAATCTACAGGAGTTATGTCAATATGAAATGAATGCTGTGCCCAAATTTATCAGCTATTTGTTTTGCTGCCTTCTCAGCGGTGCTTGAAGCATGACGCCAGTGAATATGGGGAGCAACAAGAATATGGGATGGGGTTCTGCCAGCAAGATGGCACCATGGGAGGAAAGAGAAGGGACACATCAAACACTGGTAAGCTGGAGAACCAAGGAACTGAGGAGACAGGGAGGGTGTTAGTAGGATATATACATACGCATCCTACAGATGAAAAAGCTTGTGTAGGTAAGTTGCGTGCCTTTGTGCTGAAACTGTTGTGTACACTGGTACTCTGGTGCTGCCACCTCGATTCTCCGTAGACTCAAGTCTACAGTCTTTAATTTTTCAGCCTTTTTACCAACTGTGAATAATATCTGTAAAAACCTTACTGATAGTATATGAACTTTCTTGTTTTTGCATAGTGGCTTACTTTGGAGATTCGTATTGATTAATTCCAGTTGGACTTTACCATCTCTTCTGCCAAGATTTTCAAAGAATTTAGTTTTTCCAGTGAAATAGACAACAAAGGGAATCTACAGTTTGAAGACTACCTCCATCTATATTGAACCAGTTTGATCAGGTTCAGTAGCGCAGTTTGAAGCCTCAGGAGGTCTTCAGGCATGGTCCATGGAACAAAAGACCTCTGTGGCAGCCAAAGCAGAATGGGTGACACGAAAAACGCAGATCCTGACCAAGTGACCGAGTTGTCAGGGAGCCAAAGCTTCTTTTACAACTTGTCTTACCCAGTGCCTGCACAAGGGGGTGCTTTGAAACAAGCAATACTTACCTATGCGATCAAGGAAAAGCTATTGCTTTAAGGATAATTAATATGTGTGTAAACTTTCTGGTATTTCAGTGCTATTTTCTTTGTTCTGCTCTTGTGGGCAAACACGGAATACTTGAAGCTGTCATGAATCGCTACATGATTCAGTGATTCTATACGGCTCTTAAAGACAAATCTATAGGAGGGGATCTATAGGAGAGAAAATGAAACGCGTGGCTCAGTCCCAAGCAATAGCAGGGCTCTGAAATCAGTAAGCACTAGGATTGTGTTGGTAATTGAGGCATTTTGGGTACCAAGTTTGCATCCGTCACTCATGCTGAACATCAGTCAGACATGAATGCAGCTAAAGGAATTGTGAACTCTCTCATCTCTCTCTGTTGGTGTCTACCATTAATGCCAGCCTGGGTTGTGTGCATATTGTGGGTCATTTGATGCATTTGTAGCATTTCACAAATACAGCAGCTGTGATGTACTTACATTATCATTTTAGTTTGGGTTTAGGAGTGCGTTTGTGTGGCAGATCTCCAGACCTCACCCATATACCATGCTTCGACTCATGCTGTGCAGCGGTCTAGGAGGGCATGATGGACTGAATGGGAGTATAGGCTCCCAGAGCTCACCTTATGGTGCTCCAACTGTAGAAGGCACTCAGCCCATGGGAGCAAATTTAATCCACAGCATTTGTCCACAAAGTGTGCAATGTGAGGCTTGGTCCTCAGGACGGACCGTTTCATTCCACTGATTTGCTTCTACCGCACTGCCCTAAATATAGCTTGTGTCCCAATCTGTCATTAAATCTTGTTCCACTGAATATGCTAGATTCAAAGGAAAAGATGTATTACTGAGTTATTCAATTTAAGAGCTACAAATTATGCCCTTTATGTAAAGATATCCTTACTTGGCCTTACAGAAAATGCTTGGAGAGGTACAGGCCTTGGGTCTAAAACTGACATTCCCATTAGACAATCTAAAATTATCAAATGCCTCGGGGGACATTTGACTCCAGAGGAAAGGCAGTAAGAGGGAAGTCACAAAATGTGTAACAGCATCAAAGTGCTACAGTCTGTAAAAGAGAATAAAATCCTTCATCCTAATATTTTTCTTCCCTTTCTCTGTGCAATGCCAGAGGAAACTTTATTAACTTAGAATCCAAAGAGAGGGAGGGTCAAGGAAGAACTGAAGACAGGAACTGAATTAAAAAGTGAAGACTTCCATACCAAAAATGCTGTCCACCGACAACTCCCAATTAAGCAGCTCCATTTAAACTGTGACAGCAAAGGACTATCAGATGATGGCAGCGTCCATATTATTCTGCAAAGGAGGCCCATGGCATGTCGGAATTGATAAATATTAATAATCTGTGTTTCAGAAGGTGCGTGATATTTAACAGGAAGTTGCAGCTGCCAAATAGTTGTATGTGAAGCGCATTGCATTAATCTAGTAGCCTGAACATGAGAGCACTGGTAGTTTTCATTTACTAAACCATAGTTTTATCTTAGTTTTTTGTGCTTACAGCTTCTAATCAGGAAGCAAAACCCATATAGAGCCGTATTCAGACTTTCTGTATAGAAACTTCCCAGGGGCCACATTCTGGGAATCAATTTGTCTTTCATTAGAAGTTACTTATAGAAAAAGAAAATGTACTGAGAGCAAGGACCCAGGTAATATATACCACTATTCACAGCAGAAGGAATACAAAGGTTGATCAATACAGAGAAAAGGAAATGCTGATACGTGGTAAAATGACTTGTAAAAGAAGAAGATAAAAACTGCAAATACATACTTACAAATACCAATTATGCTAGCCTTCAGGCTTATATAGCTACATTTCCACCCCAAACACTTTTATGTATGATCCCTTGCTTTAATAGCATGAAAATTATTGAAAACAATATTTTCACTTTCTTACATTCATCATACATTTTTTCTGTGGTTTAAGTTAATGATGTTACCTTTGACCCATCACTAGAAGGAACCATTACTAAATATTTCAACAAATGCTCCCATGCTGACATTTCCCCTCCTCTATTTTTTGAGCATATGCAGTTGCATAAGGCTATCTCTATGAATAGTTTATGGAAGTTACTGAAGCTTTAACTGAGCTAAGAGATGTGTGCTTTGACAGTGGAAGTTCCCCACATGCAAAACAGTCTGTGAAAGTGCACTGATCAGATGGGGCTCACTCATTGAATATACTCCTGCCTGTAGCTTCTTTGTCAGACATTATCATGCAAAATTATGCAAACTTCGTACGACTCAACATTCCAGTCTTTGCAAATAAACTGACAATGAATTTCACAGTAATCCTAGATATGGCTACAAATTTAGCCAAGGTGCTTGGACAGCTTAAGAATATGATGTGCCTACTGTATGGCCCCAAAGCTGGAAGCCAAAATGCGTAAAGTAATTAAAATATTTATCTGAAGGCAAACCCAAC